CATCATGCAGAAATTCAATCTCCGGCTAAATCCAAAGAAATGCACCTTCGGCCTGGCGGCCCTCAACCGCTTCCTCTCCAAATCAACCGAGAAGGCCTTCCCCTTCTTCCAAATCATGAGGAAGACAGCGGGCTTCCAATGGACATCTGAATGCCAAGAGGCCTTCGACGAGCTTAAGAAGTACCCCCCTTCTCCCCCAATGCTCTCCAAACCAAAGGTGGGGGAGACTTTATACTTATACATCGGTGTCAGCCCTGCGGCCATCAGCTCAGTACTAATCCGAGAGGAAGACAGCATCCAACATGCCATCTTCTACGTCAGCAAAACCCTCCGGGAGGCCGAGCTCAGGTATTCTCCCGTTGAGAAGACGGTGCTAGCCATCGTTTGGACCGTCAAGAAGCTTGGCCACTACTTTCAAGCTCATCCGGTCCAAGTGCTCACACATCAACCCCTCGGCACCCTCATGAGGAGCCCCACAAGTTCTTCCCGAATGGTGAAATGGGTCATCTTCCTTAGCCAATACAACATAGACATTCGGCCGAGGCCTGCCGTCAAGGGCCAAGCCCTGGCAGACTTCGTTACGGAATGCACGGCAAGATCAGCAATGGATTAAGAGCCCTCGGCACCCCTTGATGAGTGGTGGACACTCTATACCGATGGCTCCTCAGCCACCAAAGCATGCGGAGGGGGAGTAGTTCTTATCACACCCGAAGGCTTCCGCGCCTATTATGCCATTCGCTTCTCCTTCAAAGTCTCCAACAACGAAGCCGAATACGAAGCCCTCCTCTGTGGCCTTCGGCTGGCAGCCAATCTGAAGGCTAAGATGATCCACGTCAAGTGTGACTCCAAACTCGTCGTGGGTCAAATTTCCGGGGAGTACGAAGCCAAAGAAGAGAGGATGAAACAGTACAAAGAAGCGGCTAAGGAGTTGCTCAAGGTATTTGAGGCACATTCTCTTACCCAAATACCGAGGGCTCAAAACTCCGAGGCCGACATTCTATCCAAGCTCTCGGATGAATCCCCCGAGCACCTCTCAAAAATTGCAAGAATTGAGGAACTCAGCCTCTCGAGCATCCACGCGAGCCCCGTCATGAACATTCACCTAAGACCGGAGGACTGGATCTCTGACATCATCAACTTCATCACCACGGGACAGCTCCCCGAGGATGAAGCCCGCGCCAAGTTAGCAAAACTGAGGGCCCCCAGCTACACCCTCGAGAATGGAAGGCTTTACAAAAGATCTTACAACGGCACCCTCCTTCGGTGCCTTCATCAAGATGAAGCCGAGGTCGCAATGGAGGAAGTGCACAGTGGCACTTGCTCAGCTCATCAGGGACCCTTCTCCATGTCCCGAAGGCTCATTGTTCAGGGCTACTTCTTGCCCACGATGGCTAGAGATTGTGCGGATCTAGCCCGGAGGTGCACCGCTTGCCAACACTTCCAGAAGGCCCCCGACAGACCAGCGGTCAACTATGCCCCCATCAGCACCGCTTAGGGATGGCAACGGGGCGGATCGGGGACGGTTTTACATATAACTGTACCCGCCCCGTTTGGTAATTCCCCCGCCCCATAACCGCCCCATTACCCAACGGGTAATTTGTACCCAAACCATAACCGCCCCAACGGGTAACGGGTATAACCGCGGGTAACCACGGGTAATCACTTTATTAAATGAGTCATTGATATTTTAACAAAAAATAATATTTTAAAAGGCGAAAAATGGCATCACCTAGACGACGCTAGACTCAGACGCCACTTTAAAGCTTCATATAAGACGAGAAAGAAAACAACCTAAATTAATTTGAACCTAAAAATACTTGATCTGAAAAATAATTAATCACAAAAAATCATATAATAATCAAACAAGGCTATTAAGTTCTATTGATAACTTTCATTCTTACACTATAGTTAGTACATTTATTATCTATATATACACAATGAGCATTAAAAATCTCATCTTTTATTAGTTGTAAGACAAATAATAGATAAGAATGTAATAAAATATAACTAAACATAAACGGGGCGGGTTCAAGGCGGGTAATGGGGTGGGCATGCATAAAACCGTAACCGCCCCGTTACCCGTACAAACAAAACGGGTATCCCCCGCCCTGTGCCCATTACCCGGTCAATGCGGTTTTCCCCATTTTGACCGGGGCGGTTCGGTGCGGGTATCCATCAGATCGGTCACAATTGCCATCTCTAGCACCGCTATACCCTTCTCCAGATGGGGTATTGACCTAGTAGGCCCCCTGCCGAGGGGTACTTCCAACAACAGATACATCATCGTTGCCATTGACTACTTCACCAAGTGGGTGGAAGCCGAGCCCCTCGCCAGCATCACTGAAGCCCGGTGCCGCCACTTTGTCCTCAAGAATATCCTCACGAGGTTTGGCGTCCCACAACAGATCATCTCCGACAATGGCACGCAATTCGAGGCAGCCCCCTTCTGTGCCCTCCTGGAGGCATGGGGCATCAAACACACCTTTTCATCCGTTGCCTACCCTCAGGGCAACGGACAAGTAGAGAATGCCAACCGCACCCTCCTCGAAGGGTTGAAGAAGAAGCTGGAAGCCGAAGGGGGAGGCTGGGTAGAAGAGCTCCACAACATCACCACCCCTCGGCGCGCAACATGCGAGACACCTTTCTCCCTATGCTATGGCTTCGAGGCTAAAGATCCAACAGAAGTGACCCTTCCCACCCGAAGGGTGGAACAATATGAACCTGAGGTCAACGACGCCAATATGGCCCTCGACCTTCACCTCATCTCAGAACGCCGGGAGCAAGCCTTCATCAAATCTGAAAACTATAGAAGACAAGTCAAAGGCTACATCGACGCCAAGGTCCGCTCCCGGGAATTTCAGGTGGGGGACTACGTCCTCCGACGAAGGGAGGCCAGCCTACCCACCGAAGGAGGAAAAATGGCGCCTAAGTTTGAGGGCCCCTACATCATCTCAGCCATCATCAAACCAGGGACATACAAGCTAAAACGCCCTAATGGGACGGAGGTCCCTAGATATTGGAATGTGCACCACCTTGTCAAATTCTATCAGTAAAACATGAGTGGCCAAGCCCTCATCCTCAACAAGTGTAATGATCAATGGCCCAAGGCCCCTTCCGTTTTGAAAGAATAATCAAAAGGCCAAGCCTTCATCACCTATATGTCACACAAGCGGCCCAAGGCCCCTATCTCTCCTGAAAATAAGTGGCCAAGCCCTCATCTCTTCACCAAAATAGGCCCAAGGCCTCTTCCTCTCATGAGGGGGGAACACCAATTTAGGTACCAAGTACCAAGTGTATGGGTCACCCCCATCACTCTTTTAAAACACCAGGTGTTTTCTCACTAAGCCGTACCCCACGAGGACGCAATCATGCATACATTATGCATACTTATACATACTCTCCTAGGAAAAAAAACCGGGGGGTGCAACACCCCTCGGCCCCGGCTGGTACCAAGTGCCCCCGGCTATTTGTGTTCCACACACAAATAAAACCCTTCCCAGGAACGCTTTCCGCGCCATCCCCCAAGGGGAGGCAGGCAACGGACCATGTCCCGGGCCCAGGATTCGACTTCCACAAACGAAACGCTCCCCGCGCTATCCCCCAAGGGGAAGCAGGCAACAGACCATGTCTCGGGCTGAGGGGACGACTTTCAAAACCGAGGCGCTTTCCGTGCTATCTCCCAAGGGGAAGCAGGCAACAGACGATGTCTCGGGCCAAGGAAACGACCCTCAAACCCTTCGGGATATCGGAAGGTCATTCCCGAAGGGGGAGCCAACGGTTTGTTCCGTTGCCTCCCATATAGGCCACGCCTTTCCTAGAAACCAAGTTTCTTGATGCCTCTCCTATACCATCTTTAAAAAAAAAAAAAAAGATGTGTAGGGGGGAAGGAACTCCCCGGATACTATTCTCCCCGGAGGCTCAACACTTCGGATATATATTCCCGAAGGCTCCTACAAAGGCACAAGAAAATCTCTAAACAACAAGTCATCTGGCTACATAGCCGAAGGCTTCACTACATGAAGCCTTGGAGTACAAGAATTCCCCCGGAGGCCCAAGAAGAGGGCTCACTAGCAAAACTTCACCTAAATTTGGCTAAGTCCGAAATTTGGCTGAATCAAAGGCCAGTTGTTCCATGCCGAAAGCCACACAAAGTTCTAAGGCAAGCTAAATCTATATCTACGCAAACCGGAGGCTTCATGCCGAAGGCAGAATGTCACCGGGCTCATTCAACGATGAAAAAATTTCTAAGTCCACGTATTGGCATCATCCGGGAGGTTACTCACAAGATCTATTGGGGACAAACCTCAGAATTTCACCAAGCCCATAATCTTGAACCCCTCGGCAACTATACACACCGGGGGCTCAAGCAATTCCCACATTCAAAGGATCACTACAACACCTATTGAAAGTTTGTGCAAATTTGGCTAAGTTCCCAACCCGGAACCCTCCGGAAAGCTCAACTACTACCAACAGGCTTAGTGCCGAAGGCACCCTCAAGCTACCCAACGAGGACCTAAGGTTACACTAAAACCGAAGGCTCAACGCCGCCGATGGCCTAGGATGAAACTATCTTGGAAAAACTTCCTAAGTTGAATTCATTGTAGCCCTCGGCCCCACTGCTACAACCCGGAGGCGATCCCAAGGGTTGTTACCGAAGGCATACAATGGGATCTTACTTTGAAGATTTTCCAAGTCCACAACTGCAAGCCTCTGGCTATCCTACTCTACAACCGAAGACTCTGACAAGGTTTTCACTTAGAAAATTTTCTAAGTCCACAACAACGACCCCCCGGCGATACTACACTACGACCGGGGGCTAGCAAGGAGTTACACTTAGAAAATTTTCCTGAGTCCACAAACTTGTGGCCTTCGGGAAGCCAGGCAGAAGAAAGGAAAACATACATTCATTCATACACAAACATAAAAGAGACGAAGGCATTCATTCATACAAAAAGCCCGAAGGCAAACCATTCATCATCAAGAAAATTCAGAATAATGACAGAAGATGTTTCTTTACATGACAGGCCGAAGCCGGAGCCTAATGATCTATTACAAAATGACACCTAGGAAAAAATATCTAAATTTGGGCTTCCTCGACAGCATCTCCCTTCGGCTTCAAAACCGCGTCATCCTCGGCCTCTTCTTCATCAGAATCACACCTTGCCAACTCTGAGTCCTCGAGCAGTTGCCTCTCTTCGCCCTCAGGAAGGGGGATTCTCACGTCAGGAAGAAGAGGGGGAAGGCCATAGTTCTCCGGTTTGAAATCATTCGTCTCCACTCCATGATGTCGGGCCAGCTTTCGGTAGATCATGGCCTGGGTGAAATATTGGCCACCCTCATAAAAACTCTTGCCCTTCAAGGCCAGCCACATTGCCCCGGGGCCCTTCACCCAGCCGTCGGCAGAAGCCTCCACCACTGAGGCTACCCACTGCTTCTGCTCTTCGGCCTTCCAGCCGTCAGCAATGAAAGCCGCCACCCGCCTCTTCCTTGGCCTTGGAGATGGCTTCCGCTTTAGCCTCCTCAGCCTTCTCAGCGGTTATCTTGGCGGCCTCAGCAGCGGCCCTCTCGGCTTCGGCCTTCCCCAAGGCCCGGGCTTCCTCCTTCGCGGCCTCCAACTTCTGCTCAGACTGCCGGAGGGCCTCCTCCAAACACGCCAGCTGCCGTATGGCCTCGGTATTGTTAGCAACGAGCTTCCTCGTCACCTCGTCGGACTTGGCCTTCTCAAGGCGGTGTTGTTCCGCCCTGCGGACGAGTTCCCCGAAAGCCAGACTAGCCTGCAAGCAAAGAAAGGAATACTCAGGATCAAGTCATGCAAAGGGAAAAGGAACACTAGGGCTAAAGGTTCAAAGGATCTAAGCACTTACAGTGGCCGAAGCTTGAAGAGCCTTGAGCTCGAGGGCTTCATCCCCAAACCGGATGAGGGTGGACCGGTCCACCGAAGGAGTGGCACCCCTCAAGAACTCCCTCGGGTCGAGGGTGCCATGCATGATGGCTGTCCCCTTCTTGATGGGGAAATGTACAGTTTCGAGGGGCCAGGCCCCCTCGACAAGATCCTCCAAAGGGGCGGAGGCCGACGGCTGGCTGGTTGGGGGGTCGTCAATAACCACCACGGGGGTATCCTTCTGTCCAGCATCCCCCCTCGCTTTCTTCTTTTCCGGGGGCTTCACGCCTTTCCCGGCGTTCTTCCTTTTGAGCTCTCCAACTTGGGAGCTCCCGGCTCCAGAGACGGCATCATCACCAGGGGCAGATTTCTTCGAGGGACCCTCCCACTCCGGCGTCTTGGCAGCCTCGTCCTTCTTGAAGAAGGAGTCCACGGGCTTCTGCGTCGAAGGCCCCTCCTTCTTCCTCCTCTCCTCCTTCGCCATTTGCTTGGACAGCTTAGCGAATGCCTTCGGGTCCATTATGTCACCTGCAGAGGGCAAAGAAAGTTAGAAAAAGACAAGTAAAAGACAGGAATTACTAAGTACCAGAATCAGGACCCCTCGGCAACAACCTCTGGCATTCTGGGAACCCCGGTCGAAGAGAGGATATCTCTCATCCTTCTCCCCCGGCAGGCGATACCGCTGGAATTCGAGCTTGAGCAATTCCTCCGGAAGCGTGGCGGCTTTGATGGTCGTCAGCTTTTCTGAACCCGGCGGCTTTGTTTTTAATTTCCTCCCATTGCTCTCGAGGGAAGCATTACCCACCTTAGGGTGTCTCCGAAAATGGTTGCGAAGGGGTCTCGGGAAGGTTACTCCCGGCATCCTGAGGTAACAGAAACGGTCCTTCCATCCCTTGTGGGACGAAGGCACCTCCGAGAAAAGCCTCCACGCCGGCACTTGTTGGAGGTTGGCGAAACCCTCGCTATTGGCGGCCCCCTCTCGGCACAGGTTGAAAGATAGGAAAAATTGGTCCAATGTGGGGTCGACCCCTCGGCTTCGGCATTGCGAGAGAAACCCGGTAATGTAAGAATGACTGTTCGGGGTCAGCTGGTAGGGGGCGAGACCCACGAACTGGAGATACTCTACCAAGAAAGGGTGGAGCGGGAACCGGAGACCCAACTCCACCGAAAGAATGTGGACAGCATAGCAGCCCTCCGGAGGATGCAGCAGCACGTCGTCGGGCCCTGGCACTACCGCCTGTGCCGACGGGCCAACCAGTAGTTGAGTCTTGAGGTATTCCGCCTCTCCAGCCGTCGTCTTCAATTCAAGTGCAGCCGTGTTTAGGTATGAATGCCCTTCGGGAATTCCGATCGGCTGCCCCGCATCTACCGCAGCCTGTTTCTTCTTCGGGGCAGCCTTCTACTTCTTTCTCTTCTTCCCCGAAGCTACCCGGAGGGGCACAGCGTCGATCGGCCGGGAACTGCTCGCTTCACCGGCATTTCGCGGAGGAGGAACGACAACTGTGACTTGTTGCCTCTCTTTCTCCTCCTCCTCCTCCTCAGCAATTTGAACTGCAAGGGCCATCTCCTCGTCCTCCGCCACCTGCTCGAACTCTTCAGCTTCTAGTTCCGTCCGAAGGGTGGCTTGGATTTCCTCGGCTACGGCGGCATCGCTCCCAACTGAGGGTTGCTCGCTTGAGGACTCCACCTCAGAATAGCTCTCCGACTGGACTGGGGCCTCCACGGAAATGTCTTGGGAGTCGCTTGCCGGCGACATCCTTAGGTGTTCAGAAGATAGAAGCAGAAGTGAAAGAGACTGGGGGCTCCCTAATACACTCTAACGTTAAAACTAGGAGAGAAAGGAGCAGAAAACGAAATGACCTCGGAATACTGGACTTAGTCGAAGGGAACTTTCTCTCTCTAGAAGTCAAATTGCCAGAGCTCCGCTATGATCTCAAGAATGCGCAAAGGAAGTGAGGTCTGGCCTTGGGGTATTTATAGGCAGATGGGCCTCGATATATGGGCCTCGATTTGAAAGCCCATCATTACAGGCCGCCGGTTCAGCCAATGGATGGCAGCCGCCCCCCTCCAGCCAATAAGGACACGCCACGTCAACCCCTCTTCCAACGGCTCTATTACAACGGCTATATTCCTCGAACATTAGGGTGCCCTCAAATGGTGGCCTCCGGCTATCACTCCCCGCAGCCTTTGGACAACGAATTCCACCAAGCGCCTTCGAGCCCGCAGCAGCATAAGCCTTCGGCTTGTCAATATTGCATCCTCGAGCATATAGCAGCATAAGCCTTCGGCTCTTCAAAGTTACCACCCCTCGGGAGCTTATCAACACATCATGACTCCTTCAGCCCGAACTCGCCTTCGGCCTAAAGGAGTGAGGGACTAGGATACACCCCTCGGGAATCACACATCACAAAAATTCCTCGCACAAAGATTTACAGTTGACACGAATAGCCTCCAGACGAACATCAAAGCAGAACCCCTCGGGTACGTACTTCAACACACCCTTCGGCAGAGGCTGAGTATAAAGAATTTTCCCAAGACACTTGCGGAAATGAAGCAGCCCTCATCACAACACATACATGCAATACATCTACGCTTGCCTCAGAAAACCCTCGACATGTGAGGGACTGAGAAAAGCCTTCGGCAGTCATACAGGTTTTGTACTTCCCTCAGAATACCCTCGACATGTGAGGGACTGAGGGAAGCCTTCGGCAATGAGCAGAAGGCAAGTTCTCAAGCAAAGGCGCCCAACTAAATGATGAAGCCTCCAGGAAAATCAACACAACTACTCCTTTTCCCTCAAGTACCTTTCGACAAAAGGAGTGAGGGACTCCTGATGGAGTATATGGCCCAAGAACCCCCGGCCCATAGACTCCTACTTCTCCTACACAAGTCCATCGAGTCAGGGAACATCTTAGGCCCAAATGCAGCGGCCCAAGCCTCAAAGAAGCCCAGAATACACACTGGGGTGCCTTCGGCCTCCTTGGCCGAAGGCTCCAAAACTCACAGGATAGCCTTTTTGGGCATACGAAGCTGCTGGGAGAAAACGGCGGAAAACAGAAGCCTTCGGCATCTTCGAAGCCCTCGACATCAGAGAAGCCTTCGGTTGAACCAGGCCTCCGGGCATACCGAGCCTTCGGCCACACAGGGGTCCTCTGTTACATGGACCCCTCGGCTACGCAAAGAGCCCTCGACTACACAAGGAGCCTTCGGCCGAACATGCTCAATCATTGAAGATTCCTTTTGGAGACATCCAACCACCGCATTTAATGCAACGTCACATCCGCCAACCGCATTCAATGCGGTGAACGAACCACTGCCGGTGCCACCCGACTGATGTGACCCCTCGGCCGTTGGATTACTGACACGTGTGCTCTCATCGCATTTATTGCTGCTATAAATAGCAGCCCATTTCTCCTTGTAAACGATCCACATCCCAACTCTCACACGCTGAGTTCATTTAATAAAATCGACTCTCTCTCCTCCTATTTTGCTCTGACTTCTCTCTAGTTATTCCCGCAATAACCCCTCGGATAAGATACCCCCCGGGTAGACTGTCCATCAATTGATATACTACATATTAATATGTAATCATAATAATAACTATTTTTTATTTCATGCCATTATTAAATTAAAACACTATTAGATATGTATGAAATATTCATTTCGTTTATCAATTATATTTATATTTTTTTATATAAATATTTGTTTGACAAGTTATTCATTTAATTCCAAACAATCAAACACATCTTAAATTTATGAATTCTATTTTAGATAATGATACATTAATTTTCAATTTAATCTTATAACATTATAATTAATCTTCACTTATATTACTACGTATATTTTTACCTATTTTTAGGAAAAGGCCCACATTTTATTTTTTGCACAGGGTCCGTATTCTCTCAGGACCGGCCCTGCCAATGAAAATTACTCTAAGTAAGAGTAAAAATTATTTGAATTCTAAATTAGGAGTGTTATATTATTGTTTCAGTTTCTTATTTAATATTATCAACATTATTCTTTCAAACATACATAAAAAAAACTTGTGAGATGATGGAATATATTATATATACTGACACGGTATATTTTAAAAGATAGTGGTGTCATTTTTAACACTTTCGGTCTATATATACATATATACAACAACAACATCCAAACCTTAGTCTGTGTGTATTGTATATATATACACACACCCCGGCCTCGCAGGACCTGGAGTAGTTACTCCACACACCCTCTATGCCTCTAGTACTGTCCTCACAAACCATCACGAGTCTTTACCGCACACTTTGTCCTCACTCGTGCGCGCCCTGAAAAATTTCTCAGGTGGTCGCTCACCCATCTCAAGACTACTCCTGTGCAAGCACGTTTAACTTTGGAGTTCTTAGGTGATGAGGTCCCTTAAAAGGAGATGCACCTCTGTTGGTATGAATAGTATTATTAATCCGTTTAAATTAAATCTCAAGTGTTCAATCTCAAATCTCAATAAATCCCAGAATCCTCCAAGTGTCCGTCTGACATCCAACGGGTCAGCACACTGTCGCATGGTTGCTTTGATACCCCGGCCCCGCAGGACTCAAGGTGGTTACATATATAATAAATATATAATTTGAGTGGTGTCATTTGACACCATAGGCAAACACTTGGCTCGGTCCTTGATAATTGATGGATGTCATTTGGAAACTTGAAAATACAGAAACTACATTTCAATGTAGGTACTATTTGAGAGACTGACAATGCGATTTCTCCCTTTATCTCTCTAGAGTTAATTTAGATTTGCAGAGATTCCTCCAAATTCAGGCTTTCTTCTTGCACTCCAATGAATTGCTTGATCTTCTTAGGGTATTGTTCTACGTATATCACTTTATTAAAATTTTAAAGTTTTAGTATTTAGTTTTATTTATATGTAACTTTATGTCTATGTTTCTTTTTTATTCTCAATGCATGAGTAGTTAATTGTGTTAAGGGTTGTTTAGAGCTTAATTATGAGATTGAAATGTTTATGGGTTACTATTGAATTTTATTGCTTGAAATGTATTTGGAAAAATGACTCAATAGCTTTCATTAATATAATTTGAGAAATTTTATATTAAATTGTCTGGGGATATTCCGATGAGAACCGAATATTCATTTTCCCTTTTTCACGCACACATACACACGACCATGAGAGTAACAAGCCTAGAAGGTCCCGTTGCCTAGACGAGGAGGAGCGGGAGGGGGAGTCCCGCTCCTCCTCGTCTAGGCAACGGGACCTTCTAGGCTTGTTACTCTCATGGTCGTGTGTATGTGTGCGTGAAAAAGGGAAAATGAATATTCGGTTCTCATCGGAATATCCCCAGACAATTTAATATAAAATTTCTCAAATTATATTAATGAAAGCTATTGAGTCATTTTTCCAAATACATTTCAAGCAATAAAATTCAATAGTAACCCATAAACATTTCAATCACATAATGCAAGGTAATTATTGCACTGTAACTTTTCATTTCATCTAAGCTACAAAAAAAGC